CACAAAAGAACAGCAAGCAGGATTCCGGTCAGGGTGAGGGGGGGGGGTTGTGTGGACCATATCTAGAACTACAGCGACTATAGGCGCGTAGGCACCCTACAACCTTGGTGTTTCTTGATTTCATGAGCGCGCTCGATTCGGTCGGCCGGTCAGTTCTTTACAAAAGCTTCTCTAGAAACAGTGCTGTATGACAAGGATAGCCACTCTCTCCATGTTTGTTTAATTTCGCCAACGATGAGATAAGAAAGCGAACAACGGGACGTCTCCAAAACCCCGATTTTCAGATTTATTAGAGCGAGAACTTAATCGAGATTGCTCCCATTTCTGAAAAAGAGCAGGAAGCGCAAGCATTAATTGAAAAGCTGACCAAGATCATCCAGTGCTTAGGCATGTGTTTCGAGCCCACAAAGTGCAAAAACATGCTGCAAGACCTAGAGATCATGAACATGCCCCTGAGAATTCGAGAAGTGACACTCGAAGCTTTGGAACACTGCAAGTACCTTGGAAGTTGCGTTAGCTCTGAAGGCAGTGAGACAGACGAAGTCAGTGTACTAATCTTGAATGCCATTGCGCTTGCCAATTCGAGCTACGCACTGAGTCAAAAAAGTAAACCGCGAGGTCTTAATTGACGTATATGTCAGACTACAACACAGGCTGTGTTATTGTACGGCTGGGATACCTGGCCACTTCGGGCGGAGGACGTGACACACCTTGAGTTCTTTGACCATAAATGTCTCAGAAGTATAGCTGGAATCAGCGAATTCGAACCCAGATGATCAGAAGACTTTTGGTGAAACAGAGGGCACTTCACTCGAACACTTCATCCAGCACTGTAAGCTAAGGTGGTTAGGCTGTGTTACGCACGCCGAGACGAGCTGTTTTTTCCGTGCCCATTTCAGAGTAGCGGAAACCTGGATGCGGCAGAAATTAACAGAAGGGAATGAAGGTTGCTACGAAGAGTTTGGGTGCTGTTGGTGCTGTTTGCACTCCAAGATGTGGTCCGCGCGACCCTCACGGTGCTTGGCTTGAGACACTGAAAGACATGGGTGCTAACCGATGTCAGTTGTGTTCATGCTATCAGACTGTATCCAGATTGTCTGACCAAGTGTTGTAGGTGTGGGCAACGCAAATGTTTGTTCCAGGCCAATCCTAGATCCTCCTTTCTGGCCATTTCTTTCTTCTTTCCATTACAAAGCTTTAAAGAAATAAGCTAAAATGGTTGTAGGGCAGTGAAGCAACAGTGTCCTCAATCTGGTGTTGTTCTCAATGATAAAGATAATCTAAACTGTGAGAAGTCCTCAGGACCGGATGGTTTGTATCCAGCTCGCTGCAAATAAGGCGTAGAATCCCCGGTTACTCATCTGACAAAACTTTTCGGTGCTACATCCAGTGTAGAACATCGATAGTTACTTCTATCTTCAAAAAGAGTGCGCAAACGCTGCGAAAATCACCGTGAAATTAGCCTGGTAGCTGTAGCATAAAAGGTTGACTGAACATAGAGGCAGACCCGGGGAATCCAAGCTGGGTTCCATTAAGCAATTGGATGCATCGATCACATACCTACCCTCCAACACATTCTGGAAGGAATTCCGACAACCAAAAATGCTGGTCTTTCAGAACTTGAAAGCTGCCATTGATTCCGTGGACAGTCAGGCACTACAACAGTATTTATGGGACAAGGGTGCTCCCCACAGATTCATAGCCAGCCACCACATCAACTTTCATGGATGTAGGCGATAAGTTTTACGTCTGGAATCACCACACCAAGCGGTGCCAAACAGGGTTGTACTCTTTCACTTTCCTCTTCAACTTCATCGTTGACGTGATCATGGAAGACTCACTCCCAGCCTTTAATGCTTCTGGGACCTAAATAATCCCCAGGGCGATATGAGATGGCCTAAATAAATGACAATTTCGCTCCACAGCTTAGCATGCACTTCAGACCTGCAATGTAGGGCACTGCTCTGAAATTTGGTGGGCTCGAACCCAAATCACATGCTTGCGGATGAGCAGTTTGAGGTAGTAGGCAAAATCGAATACCCTGAGAGATGTACTATTCCCGGTGATCTAGCCAAAGACCATATTTCCATCTGGTTTTAGAAGGTCAGGGCAGCTTTTGTGAATCTGCATAACCTGTGACCCAAACATGACATCAGCGAATGCAGCACATTCAGTTGCCTGAAAACATCACAAACGAGAGATTCAGCTGGGTTCCAGGTAAGTCCCTCGAAAAACCAAATTAGTTTGCAGATGACATTAGCTTATCCAACAAACGTCGAGTCAGAAATCTGGCAGCTGTGAGCTGAGGACATTGAGACTTTCAGTTCCCGTGCCTTCGGGGCATTGCCCAGGTCTGGTAGGAGCATCGGATCAGTAAGGCTGAAGCACGCCTAATGGTTTTCAGGAGAAATAACTCGTCCATGATAGATGAACTGACCACACTCCATAGGTTGGACTGGCTCGGTCACGTGCTTCGCATACCAGTCAACCGACTTCCTCGGAAAACCCTTTCTTACAACCACGTGGGGGATGGAAACCAGGCAGAGGAAGTCGAGTAATAGTTTGGAAGCGAAGTATTTAGCAGCAAATGCAGCTGCACTGGTCATTGCCGTCTACCTGGATGGGGAACCCGAGGCGGGACACGTCAGTGGTTAAACATTGACAGACATTGCCCAGTCTCACGAATGTATCCAAACTGTTGCCTTTAATGTATAGCTTCCCCTTTAGAGCTCCCAAATGAAGACTTCACTGGCACTTCTGAATTCACACACTAAATGCATCAGCTGCTGTCCTCATTCAGTAGCTTTCCACTCTCTAGGTCATCGGCCAGCAAAAAATGTGACAGTTACAACCATTGTACAACATGCACGCGTTTCTCATGGCTGATTACGACAGTGATGATATGGAATGCTCAGATCTCTCTCTCTCTCCGAAGAGGGAATGCATAAAGAGCAAGAATTTTCAAGAAGAAACAAGGCTCTTAATGGAGATGCTCGCTCCCGCCAGGCTCGGGCGAGAATGACGAAGCGCATATGCGTAGGGTTAGAAGTTTGATGCACTACATATGAGGAAAAACAGCAAATTTTAACTGATATCTCCATTTCCAAAAAGGCACTGAAACGGAGTGCGGAAACCACAGAGATATTATTAACGTTACAACTGGCTCATCATGCGAAGACTCGTAAACGCCTGAAAACAGAGTATTCACGAAAATCAAGAAAGATTCCGCCAAGGTCGTGGATACAGTGACTATTTACCACTAGACAAATCCTTGAGTGTCGTCATACTCACAAACAACCAACAATCATAGTCTTTTTTAACCTACAGGCGGCGCTTCGCCCAGTCGGTTGTTCTCTTTTATGGCGCTGCCCAAGAAGAAATAAGATAGCCCGAAACCTTCACTTCATTTGTCGTCTCTAACACCCGTGGAAGCGTAAAAGCCCATGGAGTATATTCCCCCAGGTACACTTTCGAAAGCAATGTCCGGAACTGTTGACCTTTCTTACTCTTTCCTTTCAACTTTCGTCTTCGTGATCGTGTACAGAAGCCGCCTAAACTGGTTATTACCTCAAGGAGGAGTAAGCCAATCAACCCGAAACTCGGTTCAAAGATGCCGTATTCGTACTTCTCCAGGAAGTTTGATATGAGTTCGGTCACTTTCTCGCATGTTTTGTATTGGCCACTGGATCTTCAGAACTAGTCATCATTATCGTCCTCATCAAACATCAGATTCTATAACACGGTTTGATCACTCGATTTACTGAGGTTCTCAACCCCATTTCCGAGTGGCGCATGGCTCTCCAAAAGGTCAACGATAGCCACGCAAGAAAGCTAGAGAACCAAGTGATTTTGAGGAGGCTCCTAGTAATAAGTTCCAAAGAAAATCCATATAAGGTTAACTTTTCCTGAGTGGATGTCACCCAGTGAAGGCGCCCGCCATTAACTCACGTTAATGATGACCGAAATCTATGAGGCAGGTCGTTCATCCTATGCGCCAAATTCAACCCGGTAAGTTCAGCGAATAAAAGTACCTTATTGATGGATGCGTTCTCAAATGTTGACGGTGGCTGCTAGCCCTTCGGCTGTTCGATTAATTCCCACTAGTAGTGTAAACAACCCAAACCAAACGGTCTTTTGCGGGGGGCTGCTTTTTACGGCAGCGTTCTGAAGAGACGATCGTACCACCGTCAAGCTGCTGAAGTATGAAGTAGAGTGGTCACATTCAGCGAACGGCGCTCTATAATGAACCTAGACAATAGGAGTTATGCCGGGTGATTTGGGTATCTAGTAAGAACATAAATAGCGCCCAACCGTCCCTTTTATGTCATTGATCAGTTCCACTGTTGCGATTACACGCTTTAATTATTAGTGCACCCATAAACTCGTAGCTTTAGTCCGTTTTTAAACTCCAGCTCAAAGCACAAAGATTGGCCGATTAGTATGGCTTCATTTGTGTCCCTCTGACTGGGACACACCAGGGATGCAGGCTTGTAAACAGCAATAAGACTGGAAAATTCGTGGTTAACTAAAGCTCTTCAGCTTTTGTCTTGTAAGGAAGCCTAAGGGAGAGGGCTAGCGATTGTCAACACGCTTTTTAAGCTTACAGTTGGTTCGCAAACGTTTCGTTACGAATCGGACAGAAATCCTTAGTGAGTTGGCGATGAACCGATCAACAGCCATTGAGTGTAACCGAATAACCTAAACATCACGGCAAGTAACATGCTCCTTCGTTCCACCGTCTAAAGCTATATACGGATTTTCCAGGAAGTAACATTGGTTTAAGGGAATTGCAAAATGCGGTGATCCCCCTCCGAAGAGAAAGCGCCACAGGAGGGTGGGCACCAAGGCCTATCTCCGACGAAAATACAAACTAGATCATGGATGACGTGGAACGTCAATATGCTGATTGCAGAGCCGGATTCCCCCTGCACGGGGTGTCCGTATGGGACGCAGAAAAACGTACAGTAAAGGGACATCAAAAACAAGCCAGGAGCACTCACTTGCGTGATTCAGCTGATGAAGTGCGGGGAGGTTCCGAAGATGTTCACTTATTCGCTTCAGGGGCGTAGATGCGCACGTCTGTGGAAGGTATGCATTGAAGAGAGACAGGTTAAAACATATATACAGAACAGAATGTAACTGGACTAAAAGGGGGCACCACATGTTGTTTCATCAGTGGTACACCAGAGGTGAACTGCTAACTACTAAGATGGCAAAATACATCTCTGCCCCGTTCCCCGATGGGACCGGAGGCTTTTACAGACTGAAAGAGGGCCCAGGAAAAGAGGAGAACGCCGAAAAAAGTTTTTTAACCCAGACATAAAAATCAGAGAAATCAAAATGCTCGTTTATGGGAGTCACTGGGCGCATGGTTACTGAGCAACCCAAAAGAGGCATGGAGACTGAGACAATGCTACGTCGCTCGTCAAACAATCGAAAGAACAGATTCGAACCATATACAAGTACCGATAGCAATACCGATGTTTGACTGCCTCACAACGGTAAGGTAGCTAAAGGTCTACTCCGGGCAGGATAACCGAGGAAAGGAACCTAGCTCTAACCTACCATAAACGCAGTCCGAGGGGATTACATTTCCAAGTAGTTCATCGGATAGTCTACCCAGAAACTGAAAGCGATAAAAGCAACTCACATCGATTAACGGTCAAACTGTGCATCATACATAACTCATGTGGCAGTCTTTTGAAAGGTGAAAGATTAGTCAATCTTTGAAACACGGGCGTTTCGGGGGATGAACTGCATCCTAATCCCCACTGTTAGAGAAGCAAAGGACTACTGTGGTGGCAAACACAACTACGTTCGTCAAAGGGGGGCTGATAACCTTTTACTGCGCTAACCTAACCAGCTCCAAAAGAAACGACCAACGCGGCCAGGTGTAGTTAGGGTGTGTAACAGGGTTCGCTGAAAACACAGGCCTCAAACAGTTGTGACAGAGATGTCAAAATCCGAAGTGCGCGTGCCAAGTTTCCCACAGCCCCGTTGCCAAGATCAGTGCAAAAGGACAGGAACCACAGAAACTCTGCACCGTCCGCAAAAACTGTTGTGACAGTAAAAATTACGAATGAATGCAGAGTGCCAGCCAGTTAGCGTGAGAGGCCGACAGTCAAGTACACAGATGCCCATATATATATATATATATATATATATATATATATATATACTTAGAGTGGTGTGCGGGGAGG